AAGTAAAGTTCAAGAACTTCTAAAATTGCAACTAACCGTACGAATCCTATCAATTCAGTTCCAAATGACACCATATTTTTCAAACAAGTTTTAAATAGTATAACAGGCCTATTCCAAGTCCCAAAATCACATTCTGAACCCGATAGCAAAAAGTCAACCTACAGTCAAATCCTTTTAACTTAACTCAAATCCTCAATATATGTCAAATCAGACACCAAAATCAACTTAAATTTTCATTGAACTTAAGAACTTCTATTTTAACAACCGGACGTCCGAAGAACTTCTATTTTAACAACCAAACATCTGAATCATGTCAAACCAACTCCGTTTCTCGTCAAATTTGGCAGACAAGTCATAAAATATGGTAATGGACCTATACCAAGTTTCAAAACTAAAATACGGACCCGGTATCAATAAAATCAAACATTGGTCAAATTTATAGAGTCTTTAGACCTTTAAACTTCACATTTTTGACAAAAACGATAACTCAAGCTAGGGACCTCCGAATTCGATTCCGGGCATACGCCCTGCTCCCAAATCACGATACGAACCTACCATAAGTGTCAAAATACGGATTCACGTCCGTTTGCTCAAAACATTGACCGAAGTCAACTCAAATAGATTTTTAAGGCATAAAATCATATTTTATCAATTTTTAACATAAAAGCCATCAGGAAAAAGGCACGGACCGCGCACATAAATCGAGAATGGCTAAAAATGAGATATTTGAGGTTTCGAAATGCAGAATTAAGGTTCAAAACTCTAGATGACTTATTGGGATTCAACCACAGTTCCCTCCTACTTTCGACAAACATTAAAGACTCGACCACAGTTCTTGCACTCTACTTTGCGAACTTCTTCATTTTCTTCTACCACCTCAAAGTGCTCCCAAACATGTTAGCGCACTCTAGAAGCACAGGGTATGATTTAAATTGAATTGAGAATTCGGGTTTGAGAATTGAGAGATGAATGAAGAAATGAAGAAGAGGGGGGGGGAGTCTATTTATAGTTTTTCAAAGGCTAAACTAGTAAATAATAAAAGTATTATTTTTGAAATAAAAACCTATACTTGCAAATTAGCCGTTGGGCAACGGTCAAAATGGCAGCGGACCGTTGCCAATGGTTAAGATTATTAAAAATAATAATAATTTTGAACCAGGCGTTGAACCGGTCCGGGCTGGTTAACTGGTTCAAGATTGACAAAACCTTACCGGATAGGACCGGTCCGGTTATACGGTAGTGAAATCCTCCCAGGCATAGGCCGGTTCACATCCAAACCCAGCCCTCCGGAACTGGGCCAACCCGTTTGACATGTTTACTTCACTCCCACAAACACAAAATCTTTAGGAAATTTTACCTCCCATAACAAAGATATACACCCTATTTATTATAAATCAAAATTATTTTAAAATATTATTTTCTATAGCTACCTTTTATATTTTATAGCAAAATAAGTATTTATGGTATATACTACCATTGAGGTATGAAATAAGGCATGAAATACTATTTATCTTTTTCCTCTCTCTTAGACAGCTTGACATACCTATTTTTAAGGTGATTGTTGTTACTGTATTCATGAGGCAAAATACATAAGTGCCCACCTGACCTATGGCCCAAATCCCCCTTACACACTTTCTGTGGACGATAATAATATTACACACGCAACCTTTCTAAAGTGTAGCTAGTACACACCACTTTTTCTCTTGACCAGCTTTTCAAAATATGTGTAAGGTCATGCGCCAATAAGGTCGTGACACGTGTTCTAACTCAAGAAAAAAAAATACTAAATTTACACCAATTGATAATATTTAAAAGAAAACAAACAAAAAAAGAAACAAAGCCCCTTCCCCCACGTTTCTCATCTTCTTCTGAACCCCATACCCATCGACCTCTTCCTCTAAACTTTAACAGCCATGGCAAATCCCCACCAGAACAAAATATTAACATGAATCAAGAACCTGTCCATATAATTGAAGCACCCAAACTTATCAAATTTTGAAATTTCTATTTACCAAAATTAAAATCAAAATCAAAATCTGCAATTGTAGATTCAAAATCTGCAACCAAAATCAAAGTCAAACTTATTTTATCCCTTTATTCCGGTCACACGCTCCTCTCATTATAAAAGGAAAAAGAAAAAAAGGAAAAGAAAAAACTTAAAAATGACTAGTTTACCGGCAAGCTTCTCGAGTAGAGAAAACGATCGAAGTAATTAATAGCGAGATACGCCATTAATGGCTGGAAATAATAGTGGCATTGTACGTGCGCCACAAAGTTCTTTCACCGGAGTATATTTTAGCAAACAAAAGAAATAAAAATATAACATGCGTCGTAAAGTTCTTTCGCCGGAGTTTATTGTGTTATCAAATGAGATTGAGTGAACAGTACCTTGAGAAAAGAAAATGGAGGCTAGAAAGACATTTTTTGGTAAAAAGAAAAAAGATAAAAAGAAAAGAATAATGTAGGCCATCAGATCAACTTTATTAAATCTGAGCCGTTGGAATAAAGCTGCAGATGAGCATGTTGACAAAACATGTATAGATCTGACGCACTCACTTTTATTTGTTAAACACGTGCGCCTCATCTGACAAAAGTAGTGTGTCTTAGACACACTTTAGAAAGATTGCGTGTGTAAAATAATTTTTGTTTGCAGAAAGTGTGTAAGGGGGATTTGGGTCATAGGTCAGGTGGCAACTTATGTATTTTGCCTATTCATGAATATATGGTGCAAATACATGTGAATACATGCACATATAGCTTGACTGCCATGAATTTAGGCGCTTTTTACTACTGTATTTATGAATACAGCAGCGCGGATAGATGCGAATACATGCACGTACAGCTGTACTGCCCTGGTTTTAGGCATTTTTTGCTGCTGTATTCATGAATACATGCGCGTACAGCTGGACTCCCCTGATTTTAGGCGCTTTTTGCTGTTGTATTCATGAATACAGCAGTGCGAATACAACGAATACACTACCGTAACAACTGAATAATAGTTATGAGAAGTAATTACGTATATGGTAGCTATAAAAAATTAATAGCCACTAAACGATAATGGTTTATGAAAATTCCTCAAATCTTTATTCCTTTATTCCGTGTTTTGGCCTTTTGTTTGTCATAAAGAATCAAACCCCTATTACCCTATTCAAAACCTTAAACGCACTCCATAATTCAACTCCATAATTCAGAGCTGAATAGCGAAAGAGATATATATAATATATTCGTGTAGGGATGGCGAATGAGGTTAATATTCAATAGTAGTTATTTACGTATAATTCAAATAACTCAGACATCTAACATGGTTAATATCAAAAATTAAAATAGAATCATATTGTAAAAATAATTCACTGGCTAAAGATTTTTTTTAAAATTTTAGATAGCTGACTAAAATGAGTTTTGAATTAAGGATAATATTTTCACTTACATTGTTATAAAAATAATTATTATTGATAAATAAAATTTTAGAAACTGTAATTTTAAAATAGAAATATTTTTGGCAAAATACCTTAAACCACCCCTAAACTTGGCTCAGATTATTAGTATCCTCCCTGAACTATGCTCGGTCTTAATTACCCCCCTTAACTTGGCCTTTTGAGAGCCATTACCCCCTAGACGCTGATGTGGCAAAAAGTGTGGGTGCACTCACCTGCCACGTGGATTTTTCTGTCTATGTGACATTTTTTTGAAAAATAAAATATTTTTTTACCTTTTTAAGAATATTACTTTTTAGATTATTTTTTTTCGAATATAATTTATATAAAACTTGGATAGAACTACATTATTTAGGCTAAATATTTTTATTTGGCCAAAAATAATAAAGTTTTAGTTAATCTTCTTTTGAATTTGACCTGAAAATAAAGATTTATATAATTGAAATAAATAGTTAAGGCATCTAAAAAATTATAAAAATACATAGTTTGAAATTAATTATTTTGGCTATGATTTTTTTATATAGCTCTAAATTGCGGTGCTCTAAATAATTTTTTTTTTACAGGTTTTACCTAAAAAAGTAAAAATACACTGTTGAAATAAATAATCATTGCATCAAAAGAGGAAATAAAAAGAGCGTATAATTGCAAGAAATTACAAGTGCAATTGTACACTCTTTTTATTTCTTCTTTTGATGCAACGACTATTTATTTCAACTATGTATTTTTTATAACTTTTTAGATGCCTTGACTATTTATTTCAATTATATAAATTTTTATTTTCAGGTCAAATTCAAAAAAAGATTAACTAAAACTTTATTACTTTTGGCCAAATAAAATATTTAGCCAAAATAATGTAGTTATATCCAAGTTTTATTATAAATTTTATTAAAAAAATTATCTAAAAAAGTAATATTCTTAAAAAGGTAAAAAATATATATTTTATTTTTTAAAAATGCCACATAGACAGAAAAATCCATGTGGCAGGCGAGTGCACCCATATTTTTTGCCACATCAGCGTCTAGACGGGTAATGGTCCTCAAAAGGCCAAGTTGAGGGGGGTAATTAAGATCGGGCATAGTTCTGGGATGATACTAATAATCTGAGCCAAGTTTAGGGGTGGTTTAAGGTATTTTGCCAATATTTTTTGAAAGACATCAACACACCAAATAAGAGTTCAAGTAGTAGTAAAAGAGTCAAGTGGTATCCAAAGAGTCCTTCATAGTCTCAATCTTTAATTGTTTGGCCATAAATATGAGTTATTATTTTACTTCTTGACTATTTTTAGGATCCAATGACACCGGCGAGAATTGTACCAAAAAAGAAAAGTATAATTATAACTAGGAGATTTGAGAAATGATTAATTTTTTTTCATGTAGTGTTTCTTAATTAATATTTAATAATTATTTATATTTATCGAGAATGTTTAAAATTTAAAATTATTTATTTATAATCCAAATAACTCAAAATATTTGATATGTTTAGTGTTTGCGCGGGCAGCTATAAAAAGTTTTAAGTGATTTCCCAAAATTCCTCAAATCTTTATTCCTTTATTCCTTGTTTTGGTCTTTTGTTTGTCATAAAGAATCAAACCCCTATTACCCTATTCAAAACCTCAAACGCACTCCATAATTCAACTCCATATTTCAGAGCTGAATAGCGAAAGAGAAATATACAATATATTCGTGTAGGGATGGCGAGGATAATGCCAATGGCGGCATCCTCAATTAGGCCTTCACTCTCAGCCCTCAGGTTTTGTCGCTTCTGCGTTTCTCACAGTTCTTCCCGCAAGTTTGCCTCTTTCCATCTCGGTACTGGTAAATTCCTCTTCCCTTTCCCCTCAATTTCAAACCCCTTTTGTTTTTTGGTTCAAAATTTACAAATTGTGACCAATTTGTTGTGGATCCCACGTCATACTTTGTAGTAGAACATGTCACATGTGTATAAGTTTTCAGTACAGTGTGTGAAGCGTCTCTGTCATCTGCATTTGAATTGTAATCCGATAATCTTTGTGATTATCTGCGTTGTAATGCTACTTCTAACTAGAAGTTTCTTTGTTTGGTGATAGAATTATCTATACCATAAATAGCCAGAGAACTTTCTTATATGATTTTTTTTGACCAATGTTAATTTGAGTTATGTGTTATATTACTAATAGTGGAAGAGAATATTGAATGTTGAAAAGTTAATTTGATAGAGAAACCATTGCAGCACTGTTAAAGTTTTGAATAATTAAGTGAATCTGAATTATTTGTTCAGATCATTTTAATAATAATAAGTTTGATCTCTTTTACCGAGAAGGTCTACGAGTCCGTATAGCCCTATAAAAATGCAAAATGCAAAATAAAAAAAATGTATAATTTTCATTTCTTTATTATTATTTCTTGCTTGTAACTAAGTGAAATCCAATTATTCCTATAAGTTTACTCATGACAACATTTAAGCAGATGAAAGAAAAACAGCATATCAACAGATCTAATGGATATTGATTTTTTCAACTTCGTACCGAACTGTGAAAAGCATGATTTAAGATACGCACGGACAAAAGTAGCTGCTTAAGTTGCATATATAAGAATAGGAATTGAATCCACAACTATTGATATTGAATTCGTTGTTCTCACCTTAAAAGCTGGGTAAGCCAAGGGGGGACTTTGAACTGTTAAGAGGTGCCTAGCGCTTTTATCAATATGAAAGAGGAAGCTTTTGGGCTGTACAATTCTGAAAGTTGTACTGAATTTTATATTTGTGGAATGGTACCGAAACATTTTGAACATCTCCAAATGAAAAGTCTGTTATATAAAATGGAAAAGCAGGAGAGTAGTTTATAAAAACCAACAGTAACTATCAGAAATACTAGTGGTCGCCTAATAGATTAGGGCAATATTTTGATTGGCATAAAAGCATCTATCTCTCTTCTTTGATGCTGAATTTACCTCTTCTTTACAACTATCGCCGTTCGTCGTGAAGCAAAGATCTGGTTATATTCATTGAAAACGAGAGCGGAATTTACTTAGGTCACTCTTTTGTCCAATTAAGTGGTAAACTTTATTAAATAATTTCATTTGTATGCTTTCTAGTTTAGAATATCAAGATTATGGTCATATACTTTATGCAGTTCTTTTGCCGTAATATATATAGTTAATGTGGTACACTTTCAAAGTCTTGTTTAAATTGACAAGAAATTTTTATTGGAAGAGATTTACAATGTTGTCCTACATTCTATATCTCCATGCAATTAAAAAACAATGAAAACAAAAAAGGACGGAAAAAAGGGAACGGAAAAAGTAGGTCATAAATATGTTAATATATCATGTACATGTTATTATTAATAAAAAAGGAGTATTACAGCTTATCTAAAGGCTAATTTAGTACATCCTGGAAAAAGATGAGCAAAAGAGAAAATTGAAAAAGGAAAAAGAAAAAAAACGAACAAGGCTGAAGGATGCCGTTTTTAGTCATACTTGTTCGGGGCGACACTCTTCTATAGATGGGCAAATAGTCGCGTTCTCAATATATTTGGATTTTTTGTAGAAGAGGTAATTTACAGGGCCTTGTACCTAACATTACCGCCTTTAAGCCCTCATTCTTGTTTGATTAGAAGCATTCCTTGTCTGGCTTTATAGTCTGCCAGGGGGTTGATTTACTCATTCTGCTTTTGCTTCTAGGAACTGCGTTTGCAATTTTCTGTTTCTAATCTTCAGAGAGTGGTTCTTCCGTGAAGCATTTCGGTGATACCATTTCTAGTAACTTTTTATTTTTATTTTTTATCAAGTATGGTTTAACTTGATTAGAGAAATAACCTTAGTTTGCATCACTATGGTGGTATACAGTTAATACAATAAGTGAATACTCCTAGCTTCCATTAATAAATCTACTGCTCCACATTTTTACCGTATTAGGAGCACCACTATTAAATGATTCTAGAATGTGTAGACAAACTAGCTGTAAAAAAGAACAAGGTTGATGCTACGTTATGCTTTAAGATCTCTTCTCTCTCTCTCCCTCTCTCTCTCTCTCTGAGTTTTTCTCTGGGAGGGAGGTAAAAAGGATCTGGCTTTACAGTAAGAAGGGAAACTTACAACATTTCAGGTGTCCAATTTATCCCTTGAAGGTTACAGAGTTTCAGTTTACTGCGTCATCCTTGTTCCAAAAGTGATCTCCTCACCTACACATCAATGAACATCATTGTTCTCTTAAGCTATGAGATTGACACTGTTTCTTGTGCCTGTTAAGTTTCGGCTTTAACCTATATCCCAGGAGTTTAAATGCTTACTTTGGTAATGTTGATGATTGTCCAGCAGTTCCACAGATGCAATCTTTTGGCATTAAAGCTTCTAAGTTGTTGAGAGAAAAAGGAAGCAACTTTTCAATTGGTGCAGTTGGAAGTATGGCACATGCAAGCACTGCTACCACTCAAGAAAATGTCCTAGACTGGGTCAAACAGGACAAGAGAAGAATGCTTCACGTTGTTTACCGTGTCGGAGACCTTGATCGAACCATCAAGTATAAATACTTGACACTCCATAATTTGCTAGTCTAATTCTATCATAAAGGAATTATTGTCCTTTTTATTCCGTGTCTTTTCAAACCCATTAATGTGGGCTGCAGATTCTACACAGAGTGTCTAGGGATGAAATTGTTAAGAAAGCGTGACGTACCAGAGGAGAGGTACACAAATGCTTTTCTTGGATATGGTCCGGAAGACTCTCACTTTGTAATTGAACTTACTTACAGTAAGTAGCTGCAATCTAAAATGCTATGTCTTTTCCCTTTCTTTCTGTTCACGAACATCAGATGTTTGAAGTCCATTACAGTATTTCTTTTAAAAGGTCCACTTTGTCATGAATACCATTTTTTGATTACTCTGCCAGATTATGGAATCGACAAGTATGATATTGGATTGGCTTTTGGCCATTTTGGAATCGCTGTTGAGGATGTAAGTTTCTCTATAAATGAGTAATCTAAGCAGGAAAATTTTATGCAATATATATATATATATATCGTATAAGGTTAGCTGCTTTCTTTATTTAGATTGTACCTGTATTTTGTTTTAACTTCTACAACGGGGCCCTAGTACTGGCAAAATTCTGTTGTTGCGTAGTCATCTTCCATACTTCGCACTTACATAATGTTTGAGGACTTACCAGCTCATACGGTGTGTGCATTAGGTTGCGAAGTCAGTGGAACTCATAAAGGCTAAAGGAGGCAAAGTAACCAGGGAACCAGGTCCTGTTAAAGGAGGGAATACAGTTATTGCTTTTATTGAAGATCCTGATGGTTACAAGTTTGAACTTTTGGAGAGGGGTCCAACACCTGAGCCCTTATGCCAAGTGATGCTTCGAGTTGGAGATCTTGACCGTGCCATAAATTTTTATCAGAAGGTAAGATTTACTATGATTTCATGAGCACTCTTAGAGTTGTATTCCTGCTCACGTGCTCCTACAATCTGAAGTACAAGTATCTTTTGATATCAAGAAAATTCTGAAAATATAGATTTTCATCCTCCAGGCTTATGGTATGGAGCTTCTTCGCACACGAGACAATCCTGAATACAAGGTAATCTTTAAATTTTTTTTTTGGGTAAACCGTAGGCAACTTGATGAATTTGTTAGGATTTCTAGAGAAGGATCGGGTTACAGGACGATGAACAGGAAAATCTGAAGCTATTGACTTTGACTTTCTGCCTTTGTTCGAATTCTTAGATCCTATTTTGAATAATAATTCAGCTCGTTAAAGGGAGGCTGAAATCTTACAGTTCAATGGAAGAGAGAACTCCGATCTCTTGTTTTTGATTGAAATATGACTTAGGGTTTTATTGCTCCAATCTCCCTTTAAATAGGGAGTCTTATTACAGCAGTGGGAAACCTAATCCTTAAGAAACTAGGAATAACAAAAGTGAAAGCTATTAATGAAATAAAAATCAAACAGTTAATTTGATTGGCTCTCCTTCGGGCATAAGTGTTGCCCACAAACGCATCCCAACGTTACCCCCCTTTCGCTGGAGAGCTTGTTCTCAAGCTCGAAAGATGGATAGGGCTGCTGAAAAGAGTCCACATCCTCCCATGTAGCTTCAACATCTTGCACACCAGCCCATTGAATAAGAACCTCCTTTTTACCATGGTTGACACGACCTCTAATGACTGCAGCGGGTAGAGGAACTACCCGGCCATCTTCCATGGGTGGTAACTCTGTAAGAGGTGGAAGTTGTTCACCTTTGAATACCTTCAGAAGAGAAACATGAAAAATGTTACGAATGCGGGCTGTGGCTTGGCAATCCAGCTCATATCCATATATCTTGTATTGTTAGTACTTGCCATCAGTATCCCTTTAGTTTGATATCACTATATATCTTGCACTGTTATTACTTGTGATAAGTACTTCTCTCATCTTCTCCTTTGTTATCTTGGATTTAGTTTTCTAATATCCTGTATTGTTATTACTTGCTATCAGTGTTTCTTACATCCTTTCTTTAGCCGAGGGTCTTCCTGAACCAGCCTCTCTGCCCATCCAGGGTAGGGGTAAGACTGAGTACATCCTACCCTCCCCAGACCCCACTTGTGAGAATACACTGGGATGTTGTTGTTGTTGTATCATACCTGTTACATATTTGCAGTATACAATAGCAATGTTGGGATATGGTCCAGAAGACAAAAGTGCTGTGATGGAGTTGACATATAATTATGGTGTTAGCATATATGACAAGGGAAATGCATATGCACAGGTAATAGTTCATGCATTAGTTGTACCCTCCCAGGCGCCTATATAAGATCACTCATTGATGCATCTCCCAACAGATAGCTATAGGCACAGATGATGTACACAAAACAGCAGAAGCGATAAGACTATGGGGTGGAAAGATTACCAGGGAACCAGGACCGCTACCTGGTATCAGCGCCAAGATAGTAGCATGCCAAGATACTGATGGTTGGAAAGCGGTATGCTATAGCATCTCCAAGTGCACTTTCATAACTTCCAACCTTTGTTGAATTTCCTGTTCATCCTTTATCACATCTGTGGAAAACATGGCAGGTTTTCGTCGACAATATAGATTTTCTCAAGGAATTGGAGTGAGGTATATTCTGGACGAAACTATCAGACATATTCAGAACACCTTGAGGACAAAGATGCGTCATAAAATTATTCCCTCACCTTTGGCAAATGATACAAGGAGATTCTCATCAATGAAGATGCTTTTCATTTGTGTATAGAGCTGCAGAAATTGCGTTTTCCCCTTTCCACTATGTACCATTCATCTTGTTGATTTTTCACTGAACTCTTTCCTTCTAATTGGACCATGCGAATTGCTCATCTGTTGCCTTAAGTTGCTAGTTGCAAATTTCATTGTAGTAATTGGTCTGCTGCAAATTTTGTTCTAATAAAAAGGATGAGCCTTTGTGAAAATCCATCTTTGAATATCGTTTATAATGGAAATGGTTTTGAAGGGTGTATTCTTGGGGGACACTTCGTCTTTTTTCTCTTTCACTGGTATTTTGTACCCAGGGCAGTGCTTCCAAATGAAGATTTCCGTTTTAAATCAAAAGACCACTATAGTGGCCGTATTTTGTATTAATAGCCTGAAGGATGGGGACTACATATCTTGAGTTACATTACGAATGTAGGAGATCATCCTTTTGCAGAAGCGGTGGAACCAATAGTACATACAAGAATAAGGCTTAGTTCCTAGAGGGAGGATGTTCTTTTACAGAAAATATGTAACAAGAAACAAACAAAACAGTTCCTCCTTAGTCTGATTCTTAGAGAAGAAAACTGATCCATTTTGGTTTTCAAAGTAGCTCTCACTCTTCCAGTCAGAGTGTCAGCTTCTCTGAAGAAAGTAATGGACTTTGATCAGCAGTATTGTTTTCTATAATAGTAGTGTATGAAAGTGAACTCTGCTATCCGTTAACCGAGTGATCAGTTTGCCTTCGGTAAAAAATGCTATATTTAACCATTGTTGCCTCACATTCAAGTACTTTTAATTATCTTTTGAGTATTAATTACTATATTACTTTATGATTAATATTATATTTAACTATGTAGAAATAAAGCGGTGCGAAGATGAAGAGATTTGGAACAAAATTAAATAAAACGTGGAACAAAATGAAAGAAAATTAAAAGAATAAAAAATGAGGAGACAAAGGGGGACCCCCCGAAGACAAAGAAATACAATTCAAAGTAAAAAAAATAGAAGGAATTGAGATGAAAAACGTACTTGATTCAGCGCCAGGGCCAGTGTGACGCGCTGTCCTGGACCTGCGTAGCGGGATTTTTCCTATTTCGCGCGGGACAAGGTTATTTCGGTCCTATACGGTTCCCACTTGTATAAAAGGGGATCTAACCTACTTTGAAGGAGAATTCACGTACGGGAACACAACCCACACTTGGATGAGGCTTCTAACTAGTTTTTCTTCTCTTCTCTTCCTTTAATTTCATAGTTTATTAGTTCTAGAGTTGGGGGTGCTACATGAACGTTGTAGTTTGGAGCTTGGATTGTTCTTATTATTTTATCGTATTGGTTTATTTATTCAATCTTGCGCTTGTGAGCACCTAATTTTTGCCCCGCATGGAAATATCTCCTAAAAATAGACCAAAAATAATTTTAATGAATTTTAGGAGTTTTTCTTTATTTAGTTGCATTTCATGCACGTTTAATATTTTAAAATCATAAGAAAAACCATACAAATTGTCACATTTTAATTTCATGCCATCTTAGGTTTAATTTGTATTTAGGAATTAATTACATTGCTAAATTTAAATAACTAAAAATAAAAAAATGCATTCTTAGGTTAGTTAATTAATTAGGCAAAATAGATAAATAATTTGGCCATACAAATTAGATTAAACTAAATTAGAGTTTAAAGTGGCTAACATTGCAAATTATAAAAAAGGAAAAAAAAGAAAAGGGCTTCCAAGCTAAAAATCGGACTGGACCATTTATTTCAAGCCCAATTTTTACAATATTCTGCCCCAGCCCAATCCAATACCCAGTCCAAATGCCTTTAAGGCCTGAACAATGAAACGACGTAGTATGGTGGCAAAACTACATCGTTTTTCCTTNGACATAAAAAAATGGGATCCCCCCTTCCTGATAGAAACAGCGCACCGCTCACTCTCAACCTCTAAAAAATCTGCTCCATCTCCAACGCTAGCGACCCCCCATCTCCAACGCCGGCGACCCCGCTCCAGCCATACTCCCCTCTTTCCCCTCTCTTCTCCACCTCGCCACATCTTTCAGAACTGCAGAGATCTCAGTGATCTCAAAGCATCAGATGAGGCATGATTCGACCTCTGCACTCAAGGATCATGAATGATCCAGTGGTTGTTTAAACAAATCCATTCGAGGTCCAGAGAATAAAAGCACGAATGGACTTCAACGACTGAACGATTCAAGTGTTTCCACCAAGATCCGACACAGCTCTTATTCTCTCAAATCAGTTCTCTTATAGCGTCCGAATAAATTAGCTCCTGCACATTATCTATTGAGCTTGAAGAGCTGTTGTTTGCCGTTGTTATGTACCAGAGCTTGTACAAGCTGTTCTCTTTAGCTAAGAGCTCCAAAGTTCAGTCGACGAGGCCATTGGAAAATTCTCCGGTCGAGAGTTGATTAATCTCCAAGTTGGTTGTAATTTAACTCAAATTCAAAATACACAGTTTATATTGGTGGTGCTTATAGAATACCTTATATTTCTGTTGGAGGTAGTATTTTCTCCCCCTTTACTTTGGTTTATTTGATTTTTCATATATTTGTCCTTTGCTGGTATATTTGAGTTTCAAGATTTAGTAGTTTTCTTTGTTTTGGTATGTGGCGTTAGTGTTGTTTTTTAAAGGTTCTTTTTGCACTTTTGGCTGGTTTTGATTTTTGGTATCTTGACTTCAGTAGCTGAAGTTCTTAACGTGTAAAGGTTGTTGGAATGAAGTTAGCTGGAGCTTTTAGTTTCCTCTAATAATAGAAGAGGTTTATGTATAGAAGAAACTGATCTTTAGTATAAAGCAAGGGATACCCTTTCAAATTCATTGTTTGGGAGTAGAAAATCACGAGATTCAAGAGCACAATTTAAAAACCTCGCGTTGTGGGGAGGATGATTACAATGGACATATTTTAGTGTAGCAAAGTCAAAATTAAGTAATAGAACCTTTGAGACAAGTGGTAAAATTAGTTTTAAAGTGCACTATTTTAATTCCTTTGACTCTAAATTTTACTAGGATTTATGAAAAAAGAGTATTCATCGGTAGGTTTGAGAGTTGATAATAGGCTAGATTCATGTAGTTTGGCGACTATTTATGCCCAAACTTGACTCTGCTTCACTGTCTAGGAAGGTTAAATGACGATAAAATGGTTCTAATTGTGAATTTCATGTTTTGTAGGAGCAAGTTGTGCTTATGAGGACTTAGGACAGTGTTTGGAGCTAAATTAAAGCTAGGGAAGCCCCTCAGAGTTGAGTACGTGTGAAAGAAGAAAGAAAAGAAGAGAGAAAATGCTGATCTATTCTAGCGCGGGCCAAGCACAGCCTTAGCGCGACCGCGCTAGAGCAGAAAAACGGGACAATGTACTTGGCGATATGCTCGGTTCGAGCGCGCCGCGCTAGTCACTCTGGAGCGCAGAAATTTCAAGGGTAAACTTGAAAGTTAGGGGGAAATTTCACTTAACTATAAGAGGTCTAGCTCGCCCAAAAAGAGATTATCAAGGTTTTTATAGTTTTGTTGAAGGCAAGAAGAGGCAAGAGGCAAGGAAGATAATTCGACATCGAGTTCTACCTTTCTTCCTTTTGTATTTATCATTCATGATGAGTTTTGCTGTTATTATTATGAACACAATTATGAGTAGCTATTTAATTATTTAGTCTAAGGTTTTGATGGAACTTGTTGAGGGATGGACTTCTTATTGTGCTAATATAGTTTGCCCACTTAATATCTATTTGTTCAACTACGTTCTTATTATAGTTAATTGATAGGATCCTCAATTAGTTGTACCTATTTAGTATGTATTACTCGGGAGAGAGTGCATATTTAGGTAGTTGTTGAACAACACCACTCCCAAAGTATATGAGGAATCAATAACCGAGGGTTTAAAGGTGGGATTAGGGATAACGAAACCTTGGGTGCGATCTAAGTGAGCTGTAATAAAAGCAATCTAGCGTAACTCGGGAGAGTGCGTCTAGTAAATTGTCGTAATTACTCGGGAGAGATTTACGGTAGTAAGAGTGCTCATGATCGATAGAGACGATTAGGCAAATCTATGCGAAATATAACAGGAAGGGATTCCATGAATAGGGGAAATCACAACCTTAGATCCTTCTCTTATTTGTTTACAACTCAGTCATAGTTAGCTTTTAGTTTACTTAACTTTATTCAGTTATAGTTAGTAAAAATATCACCAAGTGTTATTCAAAATATCTAGGAAGTTGATTACGAAGAATTCAGTGAGTCTGACAAAAGTAATTGGTAGGTTAATTCCCCGTGGGATTCAAATCTGAGCTAAATACCCAGATTATATTTGCAATGACCGCTTATCCTTTTTATAAGGCATAGTTGGGCGTGATCAAATTTTGGCGCCGTTACCGGGGAATTAACGGTGTTATCAATTACAATTGAAAAAAATACAAAAATTCTTAGTGTAGTCCGTTTTCTTTATTTTCAATCTATACATTGAAATTTTAATGTTTGTTAACTTGGTTATACATGTGCATGCCTAGAAACTCATCGAGAACTGGTGAAGTATTTGAAGCATTATCAGATCTCGAGAAAGTTTTCAAAGCCTTGAATCGGGCCAACCGAAAAAACAAACAAGAACAATTAACTGAACAACCTAAACCAGAAGATAACATGGTAGACCTGGTTGCGCAGGTAGTGGAGCCTCTTGTGCCAGAGGCTCCTTTATATGGCTGGGCGCAACCCACAATAGAGAATTTGGCCATATCGATATTAGTCCCGTAGTACAGGCTGGATCTTTTCAAATCACAAACAACATGCTGCACTTGTTGCAAAACAAGGGACTATTTTCGGGATCATACATTGAAGATCCTCAAAAGAACTTGAAAAATTTCCTGTCAATATGCAAAACTCAAAGGCAACCCAACGTAACTCAAGAAGCAATAAAGCTGTTGTTATTTCCATTCTCAGTGATAGGAGCTGCCCAAACTTGGCTAAATTCACTCCCTATTAATTTCATCACTACTCGGGAGGAGTTAGTCAAGCAATTTATGAATAAGTTTCATCCACCCAACAAGATTGCTCAGCAAATTGATGAAATTTTGAGCTTCAAACAGAAACCAACGGAAACATTGCTAGAAACATGGGAAAGATTCAAAGGGATGTTGGTTATATGTCCGCACCATGGTATTCTAGAGCAGATGTTGGGGCAGCGGTTTTACATGGGTCTAAAAGATAGCGTGAAGGCTAATGTTGATGCTTCAGCTGGTGGAGTATTCTTGAGCAAATCATGGAGAGAAAGCCAGATCCTGCTTGACAAGATGGCACAAAATTTGGGGTAGACAACCATGAATGCACCTATCACTCTAGTAGTTCACTCAATTCCCTTAGATCTAGTCAACACTCTTGCTGAAAATATGGCCAACTTAATGACACAAATGAGTATACTCACCAAAAAGGTGGAAGAGTCAGGGCAGAAGCAGCAGGTGCACATTGTAGATACAACCAATGGGGGCTTATGCACATCTTGCATTAGTCAGTCAATTGGTAGCCAATAGAATTCAGAAAGTGATCATCATCATTACCCTGAGGACATGAATTATGTGTCTAATTATGGGGGTCAGAGATAGGGTGGTCAGAATTGGGGCCAACAGAATCAGCCATACAGGCCAGTCCAACCACAACACAACAATGGAAATATGGGAGCCATGCGACCTCACAATAATATGGCGCCCAACCAAAGGCCACAGGGATACAACACCCAAAATCATCAGCAAGGTTATCATCCTCCTCAGCAACAACAAGTGGGAGATAGGAAGATGGGTTTGCTAGACTCGAGGCAATGATGCAGTAGGTTATTGGGTCAAATGCGAAAATGAGTGAAAGAGTAGATGCATATGAGTCAGCCATAAAGAATTGCAAATGGGCCAGATCTCGATATTTTTAAATAATCGTCCTCATGGGACATTGCCTACAGACAATCAGGTAAATCCAAAAGATCAAGGCCCGAAGCAGCTGATGGTAGTGAGTCTACTTAATGTCAGAGATTTAGACTTGGAGCAAGAGAGGGATCGAGAAATCAGACAGGCTGAGACACTTGTACCAGTGCCCATTGAGCTAGATGATTCAGCCAAACTGACAGAGGTGACAGTACAGCCTGCCCAGGAAGAAACCAACACACAAATTGAGGCTGAGAAAGAAGCTGAGACAGCCCAGGAACCTGTAGTTGAGGTGGTGTCTGACAAAGAGAAAACCCAAATCATTGGGAAGAAGAGACCTCCAACACCATTCCCACAGAGGCTGGCCAAATACCAGAAAGAGGAATAATACAAGAAATTCTTAGAGATGTTGAAACAAATCAAGGTAAATATTCCATTGATTGATGCTTTGAAGGAAATGCCTAGTTATGCAAAAATGATAAAGGACTTGATGTTCCGAAAATTCAACTTCCAAGATTTGGCCACAATGACTCTAACTCAGACCTACAGTGCTGTGGTGACTAGACCAGTTGCTGAGAAGTTGTCTAATCTAGGGAGTTTCATAATTCCCTGCACCATTGGTAACTTTTCCTTTGCCAAGGCACTCTGTGATTTTGGGGCTAGCATAAATATTATGCCCCTGGTGATCTATAAGAGGTCAGGGATTGGAAGAGCTAGACCCATGTCTATGTTGTTGCAGCTAGCTGACAGAACTGTGAAAAGACCCTCACGTATTTTGGATGACGTGTTGATACAGGTAGGGAAATTTGTGTTCCCTACAACTTTTATGATTCTGTATTGTAGAGTGTATAAAGAAATTTCCATAATTTTGGGAAGGCTGTTCTTGGCCACAGGGCGAGCCCTCATTGATTGTAAAACTGGGTATCTCAAGATGAGGTTGAACAATGAGGAGATAACATTCAAAGTGCAGAAATCTATGAGGCGACCAAGTGAATGCGTCAGTTATTCTCTTATTAATGCCGTGGATGTAATCATGGAAGAGGATGATGAGACATTGACCATTGAGGATCCTCTTGCTGCATGTCTTGTGAATTTAGATGAGGTGAATGGGGAAGAATTAGAAGAATGGGTGCTGACTCTAGAGGGCAGAGGGTTTTGGGAGAGAACACTTGAATTTGAGCCCCCACACTTAGAAAACAGAGAAATTCCTCCAGCCAAGCCATCCATAGAAGTACCACCAAAGCTGGAGTTGAAGCCACTGCCTGCCCATCTCAGGTATGCATTCCTAGGACCTAACTCCACGTTACCTGTTATTATCTCATCTAATTTGTTAGATGTGTAGGCATAATAGCTTTTGTAGGTATTCACAGAGTGCAAGACTGCTATTAGGTGGACCATGGAAGACATTAAGGGGATCAACCCGGCATATTGTATGCATAAAATTCTACTGGAAGAGGGGCGTAGACCTTCCAGGGAGCACCAAAGAAGGCTGAACCCCACATGAAGGAAGTGGTGAAGAAGGAGGTCATTAGTGGTTGGATGCGGGAATCATTTTTCCCATCTCTGATAGTAACTGGGTTAGCCCGGTGCAATGTGTTCCTAAGAAGGGTGGTATGACGGTGGTAAAAAATGATAACAATGAGCTGATCTCTACAAGAACCGTCACAAGCTGGAGAATTTATTTGGACTATAGGAAATTGAATCTGGCCACCCGGAAAGACCACTTCCCACTTCCCTTCATTGATCAGATGCTTGACAGACTAGTAGGGAGGTCCCACTTTTGTTTTCTGGATGGTTACTCAGGGTACAACCAAATTTCCATTGCACCAGAGGACAGAGAGAAGACCTCGTTCACTTGTCCTTATGGGATTTATACCTTCCGAAGGATGCCTTTTGGCCTATGCAATGCACCCGCCACATTCCAAAGGTGCATGATGGCCATATTCACCGACATGGTTAAAGGCATAATGGAGGTGTTCATGGATGATATCTCAGTGGTAGGAAACTCATTCGATGAGTGCCTTACAAACCTAACCCGAGTGTTGAAAAGAAGTATCGAGACTAACCTTTTACTTAATTGGGAAACGTGCCATTTTATGGTACAAGAGGGTATAGTCTTGGGATACCGGGTATCAAGCAAGGGAATCGAGGTGGATCATGCTAAAGTTGATGCGATAGCAAAGCTTCCACCCCCACATCAGTCAAGGCAATTAGGTGCTTCCTCGGGTATGTCGGTTTCTACCGAAGATTCATCAAAGACTTCTCAAAAATTTCCATCCCTCTCTATAAGTTGTTAGAAAAAGATCACCCTTTCATGTTTTCTGATGATTGCAGGGTAGTATTCGAGGAGTTGAAAAAGAGGCTAGTCACAACACCCATCATTGTTTCCCCCGACTGGGAGCAACCATTCGAACTCATGTGTGACATAGTGACTTTGCAGTGGGGGCAGTGCTAGGATAGCAGAAAGACAAGATAATGCACCCAATTTACTACGCCAGTAGAATGTTGAATGGAGCCCAGCTGAACTGCACTATGACTGAAAAGGAGATGCTGGATGTGGTGTTCGCATTCGACAAGTTCAGATCATACTTGATTGGCTCTAAGGTAATTGTATATACTGATCATGCTGCTCTCAGCTACTTGATTGAAAAGAAGGATTCCAAACTGCGCCTGATTCATTGGGTGTTGTTACTGCAAGAGTTCGACCTGGAGATTCGTGACCGTAAAGGCATGGAAAACCAGGTCGCTGATCATCTATCGTGACTTGAAGGAGCTGAAAACTCAGTTGAGGCAGAGGATATTCTGGAAACTTTTCCAGACGAGTAGCTACTCGCCA